ATAATTAATACTTAATTGCCAAAATATTCTTCTAGAGAAGATGAAAAATCTGATTATCACCATCTTAGAGGCTAGAGAACAGAATCCAAGGGATTCAAATGAACCCATTGGTCGACAGAGCACAAGAATTAAGAATTGGTTCTTAGTCTTTTGTTTTCCATTCTCATGCTTTTTTAAAGGGCCGTTCTATCCATGTTTTCTTGAAACAGTTTGAACTCCTAAGTAAGGTCATCATATAGAAAATATCAAACTAGCTAGGTCACTATCTGGCCACTTTCTTATCCTTTTATACCCAAGGAAACACATGTTACTCAACTTTGAATTTCTTAACTAGACCACAGCACAGGGCCATCTACTAAGAATTATTTCTTGAATTTAGGTGAAAATATTCTCTGCTTATATGCAGTGTGGAAAAGATCCCAGCTTTCAAGCAATTGGAATTGACCTTCCTGGTCAAATTCTATGGTATACTAGTAAAACAAGCACGTACCCATAGTTATGAGTTTCTCTAGAAAGGGAGAGAACTCCATGTTGTACAGACACAGTCACTGCCCTCTGTGAGGCTTACCTAGAGTGAGTAGCAATGGCAATAAAATCATTCCCTGCAGTCAAGGATTTTTCCAGGACTACACGAACCCAACGGTGTATCCTGTCTTCCAGTCTGCCTTTCTCAGACCCAAGCACTGCCCTTAGGCTAGTGTTTGGCTCAGCATTCAATATAATAGAACTGGAGCTTTAGGGGATGGGGAAGGCAGTCCATGAACCCGTACTCTAGTGGATCAGTATGTCCTCCTGAAGATATGACAACCTTTCTAGACAACCTGGGTACTTACCTTGCATCCAGAAACCGGGAGCGCAGGATCATGACCGCCTCACAAGTGCTCTGTTTGAGCTGCATCTGGATGGAGCTGAACTTGCGGTGGATGATGCTGACCATCCGCTCGATCTCCTTTGGGGAGATGGGCCTGGTCCGGCTTTGCTCCCGCAGGAGGTTCATCACGTGGGTGGTGAATTCATTGCATGCCTACAATGACGGCAGATTGAGCATGGGGTCAGGTTGAGGGTTCATGGCTTAGCATACATTGAACCCATGCTACACAGCTGGAGCACTTTCCTAGAGTCTTGTACAGTGATGAAAACTCCAAGAGTTTGTGACATTTTATCAAAGCTGATAGATAGAATAAATGAGTGTCTAGAAATTCCTTTTATCCCCAGTGGCTCTGGCTCTAAGTTTTGGCCTTGGTTTCAATTTCTAATGGAAAATAAAATTCTGCAGCTATTTTAACATCATTTTTTTCTATGGTTTTATAACAGTGAAAGGCGAGATACTTAACATCCATTCCTGCCCTTTACCCCAGTGTTAACAGCAAAGAGAGTTGGGGTCAAATGCATCATGTGCTTTTTCGGTCTTGTTCATTATCTCTGACATGGTAGGCCTTCCAAATATTCAATTTTGGGATACATAAACAGCCAAAAGAGTTTAAGTGGAGTCATGGAATGAAACACTTTGATAACTCTTCCAGGAGGTTTCTCATTCGTCTGCTTTGAGTCTTAAGAAGCTTTCTTGTGCTGGACTTCTGATTCACTATTGTCTATAACACATGGGCATCTGTCCCCAGAATCTTATAAAAACAGCATCCAACACAATGTAGAGGATTTAGCAACTATCCTTGTAGGAACATATTATCAGCCCACTCTGGAAGTCAAACTGGAAATGAAATGTCTCCATTTTTGTATTTTACAGTTGGGAAAACTGTGATCTAGAGGGGTGGAAGGCTTTTCCCAAAGGTACACAGCAAGCACAAAAGGGCTAAAGCAAGGCCCAAATGCTTTATGTTATTACAGGCCAGGGAGTTCAGAGCCTGAGCTCGCTCTTTGGGAAAGCACTGCCCTTTCTTTCAGTTGTTAATACTTAACATCCATGGTCTAGTTTCATTAGCTGAACACTCAATAAAATATCTATTCACCGATTAACTTGCAGCAATGCTGTAAAACTGTATTAGATTTGTAATGAAAAGGGCAAGATGGGGCTTTGAGAACTTCAAACTAAGGACTCAAAGGACTCCAAGTTTAATATGAAGAGCAGAAACACACTTGTTATTGACAGCATTGCATTACTATGTTTTTATAGCATAAAGCCCTTCATATGTGTCAATAATGCAGTAGCAATAACAGGAACGCATACTCACAGGCTATTTATCAAAGAGTCCCTTGAGCTTGGATAACCAAAGGATCACAGGCAAAGGCATCCACAGGGCAGTGTCTGAACCCGACAGTGGGAGGCCTGCATTGCACCCCGCCTCTGTGAATATTTTCATAAATCTTTTCATTAACAAGAGTCCCATTTTATTCATCTGGGAGATTTAATTATTCTGTAACCCTCTAACACATTGAATGGCACCTGTGCTCTTGTGTAGAGACCTGGGTATAGGAAAGATTATTTGCATAGACCAGCAGTGACAGGTCGCCTGGGTCCCTGCCTGCAGAACTCATGTAGCTGTGGGATTTGGAGAGGTTCTTTGACATATCTGTGCCTCTTTTCCCTATTTGTGAACTGAGGATAATAGCCTCCATCTCAAGGGGTATAGGGGAGCTCCAGTGAGTTACTGTGTGTGTGATGTGTGTCTGGCTTAACGAATCTGTGTCTTCATTATGGCTTCAAACTACAGGTAACTTAGAAATCTGATGTGTTATTCACATACAGTAAATTTCTTTAGGCTTCATTTCTGTCTTAGCAAAAATAAAGGTGGTAGTAAATACCTCCTTTCTACTCTGCAGGAATATGTTGAAAAAAAAGTCTACACACTGAGTCCACGGAGCATTTTTTTTTCTTCACTCAGGAAAGTGCTCTCCAGACACAGGTCTGTTGTAAGCATATTCCCTATCCAACCCTAGCCCCTGCACCTGTATAGTAAAGAGGCGGGAAGTCAATCCTGGCAGTGAGCTATCTGAAATGCTGAGGCCCCACAGGACAGAGAGCAGAGTGGAGGCCCGAGCACAGAACAAGCCTCCCAGCCATCTTTCTGGAGAAATCCAACAACCTGCTGAGTCTCAGCCTCCTCACCTCCATGGGGCTCCCAAAGAGGAGGAGTTGGAGGCAAGGAGGTATTGTTAAACTCACCAGCTCTCAGCTGGGAAGCCACAGTGCTTGGCTAATAATAATGTGCTTCATTACAGTGAATAAAAATACTCACAATATCTGATGTTTAGTCAGGGCATTTTATTCCAAGGCCTTTTCTGCTCTGCAATAAGCAGACAGTGGAGTCCTTTCACCCACTGCTGTGCTACAGCAAAACAGCTGCTAAACAGCTGCTTGGGAACACGGAACAGAGAGCCAAGAGTTCCAAGCCTGTCTGAGATGGACAGGACATGACGATCTAGATTCTTCCAGGACTTGAACTGCCCACAGCTCCCCCTCAGTCCCCATCATGTCACCATCATAACCTGAACTGCTTCTCTTAGGTCAAGTGCTCAAACTGTGACAGTAAGGTACATATTTGGTGTTAAACCGTAATAGAATGGGCTGAAGATTTGTCCTGTAGGCTGTCAGAGAAACCATGGTGAAGAGCTCAAGCCACCTCCTAGGGCAGAGGGATTTCTACAAAGAGACTTTCCAAGTAGGTATCCAAGGGCATCTGGTGAAAAGACAAACTAAAGAGAAGCCCCACAGGGAATCTCACATGTTCTAGAAATTTGGCTCACATTCTGTGGGTTACACCACCCATTTTCTTCATGTCTCCTTCTGACTGAATCTGGCTGCCAGACTCACTCAAAAAAGTACAAGGAATCAGAGACCTCTCTTAGCTGTGAACTGGATTAATCCACCTAAGTTCAGCATTCGAGATTTAGCCCCATCAATACTTCAGTGGTGTTATTTATAAAGCCAAACTCCATAAAGCAGCAAGACGGTCATTTTTATAAACAGTTCTTGGAATAAGATTCAGGTTTCTGACACCATGGTTTTTATCTTTTTGAATATACTGAAAATAATTACCTTAGCCACCAACATGATCTGCTAAAATAAAAAGTGTTTTTGCCAATCTCATTTAATGAATAAAACAATTTCCTTGCTCTCTTTTGAAAGTTTGTAG